ACGAGTGCCACGCTAGTAGTAACAAGTGCCTTACTAGTAGTAACAAGGACGCTACCAGGAACAAGTGCATCGCTAGTAGTAACAAGAAGCTACTAGGGTCAGACGGTCAGACTGTGATTGTGAACTGACAAATGTGAGTTTTGTCCTACATCAGTTTAGACGGTCTCATGCTCATGGAAATGACTTGGGGGGGTATCTATCTATCTATCTATCTATATGTCCGACACCCTCCAAAAGTTCAAGTGAAATCTTGTGTGCAGTGAGCGAGCGAGGTCCTTCATGGTGGTGGTATATGAACGAGGATCCTATGGTTTGAATTCTCCAGCCAATGTTTAATGCCAAAAGCGCATTTGCGGACTTCAAAACAAAACACTCATCTTTGGTTGTCTGGGTTGGAGGCCATTGCTTCTAAGTTCGAGGCCATTGCTTCTTCTAGGTTGGAGGCCATTGAAGTTAAGTTTGGAGGCCATTGCTATTAGGTGGAGGCCATTGCTTCTACTTCAAAACAAAGCACTCATCCCACGTTGGTTGCATTGTGCCTCAAGGAGCGTGGTGGGTGGCGTGGGTCTACTGGGCTTGTTCATTGGTGCACAGGTCTTTTGCGGCTACAAGCGCCTTGGAGTGCAAAGGTTATTCTCCCATAGAGGAACTAAGGAACCATGTCTATTGCAGTAGGACACGAATGGATCAGGAGTAAGTTCTAACTGTTGCAGTAGCTGTGGCAGGCCACCCAGGTTTACTCTTATTTATTTTGGACTCAAAGTGGCCCTTCATTGAAGGCTCAAAAAGAAGGGCCTCTAGATATGTCTCGTGAAATTCGGTAGAACTTAGACGGGCATTGGACGGGGGGAGGGTAGGCCGCTAGAAGAGGTAGCTAGTAGGTTAAAGTAAGCTCCGGACTTCATGAAGAAGCACTGTGATTCCTAGATTTTTTGGTCAAAGAACGGATGACGATCGTGGTCGTTCTCCCCGAGGTGTGGCCCGCCGAGCACATTCAAATGCCCCTGGATTCCCTTGACGCCCTTGGTGGCGCTTTGCTCAAACGTACCTGAGCATGCTATAGACATGAATTGATTGCAGCGTCGTAGATCATCTAGGTTATCAGCTGACTGGGGCTTGGGCATCAGCACTGAATATACCACCGACTAGCTAAGGGGGGCCTGATCCGGCTTGGAAGGCCTTTCTTTGTACGCAAATTTGTAGGGCGTTCTTTGTGAGCTGGCTTTAGCTTCCATGCATCCCCTACAGTCTGGGCTTTTGGAGCCCCATTCTTTCCCACCTGTTGATTTCAGTTAAGGGTGATATGGCAAAGAACCGTTGAACAAATGTGCTTCAGAATGTTCCAACAGTGTTCTGATAGCAGGGGATGTGCGGTTGCCAGCTGAGTCAGCAGTTGAGTCGCCCGACTCATGTTAATATTTTGACATGTTCTAGGCTAAAGTGATCACACACACAAGAGAAAGTCATGATTGAGCACCATCCAACAGAGTGTCAAAGGGTCAGTGGTCCGAATTTCATTCCAGAGTTCAGGGGTTGAATATGTTGTAAAACACAGAGCTGAGGTTTACCTGATGTTTCATTTGAGCAGCTTGGCAGAAAGACTTGCAGCCACACTGGCACCTTTGTTCATGTTTCTTGCACATTGTGATACATTGTGTATGTTCTTTGCATGTTTTTTTTTGTTTGTTTTTGTCTAGATTATTTGTCACTTATTTGGTGTCGGGTTAACTTTTCGCCATCCTTTAGATCGGTTAGCTCTGGGCATTAGCCAGCAACAAATGTTCTTAGCCAGCATTTTCAAGTTTGATCCGTAACATACGTTTCAGTGTATTGAGCTGAGTGCAAGCACTTGAGACAGTCCTTTGATGTCCATAGATTTGTTTCATCATTCGCACGATGCTATGTTCCCGCATCATCCAATTGTGACACCATGTTTGATCTCAAGTCTGCCAACGCCATGTGCTCCCTACGGCGCAGATGGCCATGCATGGTCATGTGCTGAGGTGGACACGCCTGGTTGCGGCTGCTGGTAGTTAGCCTTTCGATGATGCAAGGGCAGGGGACGTTGAGGTTTGAAGGAGTTGTTGATGCAACAGTCATGAGCGGGCTAGTGTAATTAGTCTACCGAACATTTGACCAAAATCCCTTTGGCACTCTTTGGCAACTCCATATTAAGCATCTCTGTTTGGATGGATTGTGGAGTACTTTTTTTCTACATGTTGTGGTGCATTTGCAAGGGGTACCTTGCACATGTTATCTATGTATAGAGCGCTTCCCCTTCTCAGTGTGATCAGAACTCGAAGTTGTTGGAGAGACGAGAAGAGGTATTCCAAAGCGAATGCCACCTAGGGGGGCAAGAAGATGAGCTAGACCAAGGTTTGGCTTTGGATGTGATCTAGATGGGCAGAATCATAGAACAAGTGGGTGGAGTTATCTCATTCACAGGTCATGGGTGTGAATCGTAGCTATGTTTTCCCTAAGGCTAAAACTTGCTTTGCACAATGAATTTCAAGTCCGGTGAACATCCCTCCGGATCAATTCGCCAAAGGCTTCTTGGTCTTCTTTCTTCACAGCAGCGCTGTTTGTTTGGGCATCCTCGATCCCAAGAAGGACTCCGAAAAAGAACACAACAAACAATACAAAACAAAAATGAGACAGATTAAAACAGATCAACAAACGGGTTAAGATGATGAGCAGAGGTTGTGACCCATTGCACATAAGGAATGCACAGCATGATACTGCTGTCAGATAGCCTGCTAGGCCATCAGCGGTATCTCGAGTTACAGCATGTGGGGGCCTAGCTTTTTTATGGCGTTTCTTTTGGTTTTGTGGGGGGCTCCTGTTCTCATTGGCATTTACAAAGCTGATCTTGGGATTAATTACATCTTGCCTGGTTTGGACTAGCTGATTCTGAGCATTTTGACAAGTGCACAATCACAATGACAGCCCCGGCTGCAGCTCACTCGCAGATCGTTTCAGTGGAACTTGGCTCCGCAGGTTCAAACATGAACTTTACAAGCTGGATCATACGTACTTACTTTGCCACTCGGTTTGCTCCATACTATTCTGGTTTACTGCACTGGTCATTCCCCTCTGGAAAGTTCCAAGTAAGTGAACCGCCTCGACCAACCGCCAACCATCTGTGGAAACCCAAGCACCGCTGTAACTGTGGAAATGTGTCAGGACCGGCGGCGGCACGTTTGCAAGACGATCAAGACCGCAGCACAGAAGAGCGGCCCATCCAGCGGCTTGGCGCGGCCCTGCGGACCCTGTGGCGAGTGAGTTCAGAGAATTCAGGGCCACCGCTTGGCCCTGTGGCTAAGCCATCGACGAGAACGAGATGACGAAGTGAAGCGATCAGTGGAATGGTGCGCTATGGTGCGCTATTGCTTTGCGATCCTACACAAGAGTTGTAGAAGCTACAGGTGTGATGAGTGAAAGAGAATCCGAATGTGCTTTCTTTGGGGGTCGTATAGAATGGTCGTATGGAGGCGTTTGCAAAGATGATCCACATTGTATTTGGATGAGGGGTCAGCCCAACTTTTCGCTGTTAGCAACGGAAATCAATCGGAATTCCTCAATGTGCTATTTCTAAAATGTTATATATATATGCCTCAAACTAGTTAATTCAGAACTTTGGCCAGCAGAGATGGTCCAACACCACTTTGAGTCCCAGCTGCCAAGAGATTTTCCAACGTCAGAGGTTGTGAGGTTCAGAACTTTGTGGAAGTGTTTAAGGACTGAAGAGGATTTCAGGGAGATACTCCATTACATCATCAGACCTCTCCTACACACCATACCCTCACAATCGACTGAGGCCATTGCTAAGTAGGTTGGAGGCCATCGCCACTTCACATAAACCTTACAAACACCTTTCGTGATCAGGATTTCAAAAGGCCCACCGCTGCCATCGAACTCTTGTAGTAACAAGGACGCTACTAGAAACAAGTGCATCGCTACTAGTAACAAGTGCCTTACTAGTAGTAACAAGGTTCGTTATTAGAAACAATATACACTTCCTGTAGCACCATGGAGTGGGTCTCAGCATCATCCACCACCGATAGATCGTAAACATGGATAGACCGTCTATAGACCCCGAGGAGTATGCATCCTGCCTGTAGTGCCCGTAGCGCCTGTACTTCGATCATTCCCATCTTCCATTTGTTTGGCCATTTGTCCCTGCGAACTATCACGAAGCATCGCCAGCTCCTTAAACCTACAAAAGCCCGTTTCCTCATCAATTCCTTGTCTCAGTTCCCAGTTGCAGATTCATCCAGTTCAAGACGCATGACAAAACGAACCACTTCCGACTTCCCGTCTCGCACCGGTCTTAGGTGCGACCGGTCAGTCCAACAGCTGGCGGCCGCACGCGCTCGGCTGCGTGAGATTGGCGGGGGAAGCTCAGACAAGTCTTTAGACGATGTTTGGCGCACAAAACGATTTCTGTGGCCTTGCGACTTGGATTTCTGATCTGACTTTGGCGGGGCCAGTTTCAACAGCAAACTTGATCTTTGCGCTTTGCGAGCTAGTTGTTGCTCACGGAGCTCTATAAAAGAGAGTCCCCAATGATAGGTGATGAAAAGGAATTTTATGAGATGCTCAGTCAAGTTTGCCTTGTGCCACATCTCGCGCTTGCGCACCAGAGCCGTTCGATTGCTCGAACCCTCCGACCTTCAATCGAAGCCTTTCCTCGCTGGATTTCCGGTGCATCCAGATTGGAGGGAGTGAGGATGGTTGACTTGTGAATGGAAGGTTCAATTAGCAAGTGTGGTGTGTGGTTCAATGCGCTTTCTAGTGAGATTAGATGGTTTATATAGTTTCTCCATGTTCTTCCTTTCTACGATGCGGTCTTGGCCACAAAGAGCGCTGTCCGATCTTTTCCTTGTGCTTGTGAGACATCCTTGTTGCGACCTTCGGGGGGGAGAAGTTCTATCAGCGACTCTTCAGCTTTCGCATGGCAGGATAGGTTCGTTACTTGGAGTCTCGTTTCAGCTTGCAAGGTGATATTACCAATTCGTCCCGATGTGTCGTTGTCCCAACTAGCTACATACTTCGAACACCAAGAAGATATGACAAACGATGGATTGCACCCCACCAAGAGACCAATGATGACCAATGTCCTCTTTGTCCTCTCCACTTCAATTATCAATTGGTCCAAAGTGCAGAGTGAGGCATCCCAGAAAGGTGTTCTAGTGCAATCTGTGAGCACCTTGCAGCATGGCCAGGTGCCTTCAATGAAGTCTGTGGCTATCGCATCCACTCTTGTCGTGGCCGCACAGGGTGTGGTTCTGCACACCTGGACCTGGGGTGTGAGCTATGGATGCTTTGGAGGATTTAGATGATCTTCGTTGGGTCAAATCGCGCAATTTGCAATGAATCTACAGAGATTTGTCTCGTTCACTTCGATTTTGGGATTGCTGATTTTGCGGTTCTGCACATTGGAAGGGAATTGGTTCCTTTTCTGGGTCGTTGGAGCAAATCTAAGTCGAATTAAGTCGATATTCATGCTCACACTGGTGATGGCTTAGGGCCCTTGAATGCCAGTCATTTACCGATACAGTAGTACTCAGGCGACTTGCAGGCTGTCAGTTGCTTTTAAGGAGCCAATCTCAAGCAGCAACAGGTGTGGACTTACCGAGTTTGTCCCAGCAACTTTCGAAGAGGTGTGATCAATGTAATTATACTACTTGTACGGGGTTCTACTCTGTTGAAGCGGTATCAAAGCTGTGCGGTATCCTCTTCCAACTTACGAAATCTTCGCTTGCAGTTCATCATCTGAGCTTTCCACGGCTTCCGGATAGATTTGTGGCAAAAGGAGCACGCGGACTCATGCACAAACTCTCGCTGTTGCAAAACAGACCATCCTTTCCTGTTTCACTGAAGTGTCCCTACTTGAAACCAGCTTTGGCCCCTTGCTTCTTGGGCGCGCGGAAGCAAACCTACAACAAAAGCCGACTAATCAAGGTCGCGTAAGCTCAGCGGAAGCCCTGCCTAAACAAGCAGCGTGCGAAAGCTCACAAAAAAAACAGACCTCACTTGTCGATTCCATGCTCTTGGTCTTCATAGCTATTAGGTTGGAGGCCATCGCTCTTGGGTTGGAGGCCATTGCTATTAGGTTGGAGGCCATTGCTATTAGGTTGGAGGCCATTGCTATTAGGCTGGAGGCCATTGCTATAAGGTTGGAGGCCATTGCTATTAGGTTGGACGCCGTTGGAGGCCATTGCTATCAGGTTGGAGGCCATTGTTATTAGGTTGGAGGCCATTGCTATTAGGTTGGAGGCCATTGCTATTAGGTTGGAGGCCATTGCTATTAGGTTGGAGGCCATTGCTATTAGGTTAGAGGCCATTGCTATTAGGTTGGAGGCCATTGCTATTAGGTTGGAGGCCATTGCTATTGGGTTTGAGGCCATTGCTATTAGGTTGGAGGCCATCGCTATTAGGTTGGAGGCCATTGCTATTAGGTTGGAGGCCATTGCTATTAGGTTGGAGGCCATTGCTATTAGGTTGGAGGCCATTGCTATTAGGTTGGAGGCCATTGCTATTAGGTTGGAGGCCATTGCTATTAGGTTGGAGGCCATCGCTCTTAGGTTGGAGGCCATTGCT